CCCCCCCCCCGCCTCCTGGGAAGCGGTGGTGATGCAAGGTGGTGGGTGGAGATGCTCCATCCCTGCCTGCTCCCTGCCCCCTCCCCCACCCGTCATTCTTGACAGGCAATTGGCTAGTGATCACTTAAATGGGATTCTTCTTTGATGTGCTACCAGTCAAGAATGACCTGAGAATACCTAGGTGGTCAGCATTCATTGTTCCCAGGATAACCCAAAAAAGTTGTCAGGACTGAGAATGCTCCCCTTGGATTTAAGTGTCTGGTTTAAATAGTACAGAAGATTTCTCTTGTGCTCTTGTCTGCTGTGGGATGTTTCACCTGTCTTAGATGGCAGCAGAACATCAGTAAACTAATAGTAGCTGCACCTACCTATATCTGATTAAATGCTGATGATTTATAGGCTGGACCCTGGGTATGATTTACTTTCATTGTAAGAAAAAATAGGGTAAATATTTCCATTCCTAACTATTAAACAAAGAAAGAAACAAAGTACACACAAGCACTTCTGTGAATTATGATTTCCAAAGCAAATGTCTGCTCTTATCAGGAGAGAGGTGAAGTTCTCTAATTTTGAATTAAATATGGAAAGAAAAGTACAGCAGATGAGATTCCTGGGTGAATCCTGAATGATGATACCAATCACAGTTTCTGTAAGAATCACCTTCTCTTTGAGGCCAATGGAAACTTTCCCTGAGGAGGGCAGGCAAATTCCATTTCACTCATGAAAAAGCTATTAAAATTAAGATTGGTCACTGTTCCAGTGTAAATTACTAGGGCAGGATTTCTCTCTTGAAGGAATAGGAGTCCAGGTAATGCTTTATCATCTTGGAGATTTCCTCCTCAGTAAAATGACTTGAAAAAAGTGTGTTTTTCTTGCATATAAAAACTGATGCTCTGTCTACTATAATTCTCATGATCTAGGACTAAAACTTGTTTATTTATACTGTCTCATTGTGCTTCCTGCATCCATTCAATATTTATTGTTGGTGTTGCTTATCTAAAATAATCCACTTTTCTGATTTCAGTCTTCTGATTAGTTACAACTAGGTTCCCTGGCTGTTTTTTTCCTTTCTACTTGGGGCCCACTTAAAACGGGAGATGTTGATGTGTTTCAAATAAGGGCTATTGTTAGTTGACTGTTTTGCCACAGTGTACACATTTTGTTTTCATATGGTTGTACAGAAAAAAAAATGCAGCACTGTTTTAATTTTTTTAAATGATTTTGTTTTTAAGGAGATTAACAATTAAAAAGCATCAACTTAGAATGGCACTTCCTGGTTTGGTTTCTTTCTTCCTCTTTTCAAAAATGTAATAAATTGTCTCGCTTTCTAGTCTGGGTCTGAGGAAACTTGGAACTATTCAACAAACTTGGGCCCCAAACAAATAATACATGGGGTCAGCTCTCCATACCTGTCAGTGGGGCTCAGTATAAGAACAAGCCTTCGCGAGTGTAAATTACTTTGCAAACCAAGGATCATGTGCTAGTATTTCATGTGGAAGTACTGGGTTCTCTAAGCCAGGTGCTAAATATAGTTGATTATAGGGCAGTGTTCTCCGACCTTTTTAAGTAGGAGATCACCGTTGGCATTTAAAAGCACCCCAAGATCTACCGAGTGCTGCTGCCACCACCCCTCCCCCTGCCCAGAAGGTAAATCAGGGGTGGGGGGAAGGCAGACGGAGAGAAAATTATTTGGAGTCTCATCTCCCCAGCAGCTAAGTCCCACCCGGCCAGGGCTTCACTCAACTTACCCTTGCTCCTGCCTCTGTGGCACTGTCCCTCACCTCGGGGGCCCCGATCTAGCCCCTGCCCCTTCCCTCCCCCATGGACTGCCCTGCTGGGTGGGGGCGCGTGTGTGCATGTGCACGGGCACTCAGCCTCCCACTCCAGGCTTGGATCAACTCCAAGAGGCTCTGAGATCTACCGCAAGATGCTCCAAGATCTACTGGTGGATCAAGATCCACTGGTTGGTGACCACTGTTATAGGAGTAAGACCTGGATCTAAGCCCCGTGGTAGACCATGGAAATGCTCCTGTTAACTTCAATGGACTGTGGATCAGGACCTCAATGCCTTTTGATATTCA